AAAACATGACTGGTTGTGTTCATGGCACATTCAAAAGGTAATACAGTTTTACAGTTAAATTACATGTCTTTACTATAAAAGCCTCAGACTGGCCCATGTAATCTTTCTTGATTATATGAGCCCGGTTTATAGCTGGTTCTAACATGCGTTCTTTGTCCTGATCTTGTCCACATTCTAAAGCATACTTTATGATTATTGATATATCAATGACTCATTCTGGCCGGTTTGGTGGACTGTCTCAAATAAAATGCTACATAAATACGCATTTACAAAGTTCAGTGATAGGTCACAGAATATGCCAGTTGCTGATTCAACCCCTGCCTTGCTCAAATCTCTCAAGAGCAATAGTGTCTGAACTGAACCCAGAAAGCGGCCGGTCGGTCAGTCAGTCCCCCCCCCACCCCCCACTGTGCGCTCTTTATATAACTCCTGCCAGATGGATCAAAGCCAGCGTGTCCTGCAGATTTCTCGATTTCACAGCTTGCTCTGGCTACGTGACTTCCTGTCGCTATTTCACACCGGATCGCTTTGATACACTAGGAAAGCAGTAAAAGCACTGAATGAAATATGTGCAATCACTGCTTTGTACACCAGCTGTCACAGTTAAACGGCAATGTGAGGCACAAGGGGTGTAGGCCTATGTACTGTATAGTATAGCCTCTTGAATCATTCATTGATTGTTGACTTCCTAACTAGGTCCAATAGCAGCAACTGTTCCAATGAGGTTTCTGTACCTGATTGATGTGGAGATGAGGTGCTACCTAAACATCAATGACTGTGTGATATAGGTAAAACTTTATTTCACACAGTACTATTGAAATAAAATGTGAGGGACTCAAATGGGAGAAAAAAAAAACATGGAATACTGTCTGATCTAAAGAAATCATTTGAGTACTCAGGGGGTAACCCATGCAGATTTGTAGGGCAGTGAGCAGACAGGTATATGGTTTGGAGACAAACATAAGGTGGAAGAACATCCAATTTCCTCCATCTGTTCTCACTGAATGAAAGGTTGTGAGCATTTGTATTTCAAATACTCATATTTGCAAGTTCTTTAGGAGAAACGGCATTTGGGCATCAAAAGAACATGACATCCATAGAACACTCATTTCAAAGCTTAAATTAGAACTTTATTTTATTATTACAATATTACAAAAAGAGTAGCACAACTCTCACTCTCTCGCCTTTTTATCTGTCGTACAGCCACAGAGTGACATGTAAAAGAAATACTTATTGGGCTTTCCTCTATTTCACAGCAATAGTAAAGGAAACAAAGAGGGAAAATTATTTAAATAACAAGAAAATCAAGTATTATAAACAAGTCACAACTGTAGCTTTGAAACTGGGAAATAAATGGTTTGTTACAGCCCAGTAACTACACATACAGTGCCTTGCAAAAGTATTCAGACCCCTTGGATTTCTTCACATTTTATTATGTTACAAAGTGGGATTAAAATGATTTGTCCTTTTTTTTTTTCAACAATCTACTCAAAATACTCTGTAGTGCCAAAGTGGAAGAAAAATTTGAACATTTCTTTCAAGATTAATAAAAATATGATAAGTAAAAGTCGTTGCATAAGTATTCAGCCCCTTTGTTCAGGCAAGCCTAAATTAGTTCAGGAGTAAAATTTGGCTTAACAAATCACATAATTACATGGACTCACTGTGTGAAATACTAGGGGTTGACATGATTTTTTTAATGACTAACCCTTCCACTTTCCCCCACACATACATCTATCTACCTGTAAGGTCCCTCAGTCAAGTATTGAATTTCAAGCAAAGATTCAACTACAAAGACCAGGAAGCTTTTCGATAGCCTCACAAAGACGGCCAGTGATTGATAGATGGGTAACAATAACAAATCAGACATTGAATATCTCTTTAAGCATGGTGAAGTTAATAATTATGGATTATATATTAAACCACCCAGACACATCAAAGATACAGTCAACCTTCTGAACTGAGCTGCAGGACAGGAATGAAACTGCTCAGGGATGTTACCATGAGGCCATTAGTGATTTTAAAACAGTTAGATGGCTGTGATAGGAGAAAACTAAGGATGGATCAACAACATCGTAGTGACTCCACAATGACTTAAATGACAGAGTGAAAATAATACAAATATACAGAATACCATTTTTGCAAAACATGCATCTTGTGTGCAACAAGACACTAAAGTAATACTGTAAAAACAAAACAGCAAAATAATACACTTTGGCCTAAATGCAAAGCCATATGTTTGTGGTAAATCCAACAACACATCACTGAGTAACTGCCTCATTTTAAGCATGGTGGTGGCTGCATCATGGTATGGATATGCTTGACATCGGCAAATACTGGGGAGTTTTTCAGGATAAAAATAATTGGGATGGAGCCAAGCACAGGCAAAATCCTAGAGGATAACCTGCTTCAGTCTGCTTTACACCAGACACTGGCAGAGGAATTCACCTTTAAGCAGGACAATAACATACAACAAAAGGCTAAATCTACACTTGAGTTGCTTACCAAGAAGACAGAAAATGTTCCTGAGTGGGCAAGTTACAGTTTTGACTTAAATCTGCTTGAAAATCTATGGCAAGACTTGACATTTATAAATTGGTTACCAACGTAATTAGAGCAGTAAAAATAAATGTTTTGTCATACCTGTGGTATACTGTCTGATATACCGCGGCTTCAGACAATCAGCATTCAGGGCTCGAACCACCAGTTTATAATATTGCACAATTCAGGTGTGTAAAGCTCAGAGACATTTACATCATTTAGCAGACACTCTTATCCAGAGAGACCTACCCAAGAAGGATCACAGCTGTAATCTCTTCCAAATGTGTTTCTAACATGTATTGATTCAGGGAGCTGAATGCTTATGCAATGACTATATTTTAGTCATTTAATTTCTATTAATCTTTAAAAAATGTTAAAATTGTTCTTCCACTTTGACATTAGAGTATTTTGTGTAGATTGTTGACAAAAATGTACAATTGAATCCATTTTAATCCCACTTTGTAACACAACATTTTAAGAAATCCAAGGGGTATGAATACTTTTGCAAGGCACTGTAAGATTGAAATATAATTACAACATTTCTTGTTTTCGTAATAAAGAAGAATCTCTAAGGAATTGCCTTTTATATTCAACAAAAACGTAATTAAAATAAAAGGCAAATTAACAAACAGAAATTGCGGTTCCTCTGTATGTATCCTTGCAATCATCATTCTCATAATCATCATTTTGGGTTTTCGTTATAACCATGCTTGTTTTCAAAGGAAAGTCCAAGGACCAAATACTTAAGGCTTTTTAAGGGCTTGGAGGGAGGCGAACAGAAAGTGGAGGTCAGTGTGTCCACCACTCTCACGTACAGACAGACGCACATCTGCATACATACAAAACGCACATGCACGCACGTCTATACTCAACCCGCATCAGCAGGCATCATTCACACACAATCATTACACTTTAAAGTTACAGTAGTATAGTAGATAAGCCAGTGTACAATAAAATAAACAATGCATTTGCTGTTTCGCTTTAACTTAAGTCATTTTCCTTTAACCTCTAAGTGATCTTGCAAGTGATCAATTTGGTCTTTTCAGCAGACTTCATACCAGAATCAGTAGCAACTACACCTAACTTAAGTTACCCTTAGTGATTAAAAACAAAATAAAATACACTCAGGATCAAAACTCTGATTTGGTTCATAGTTAGTTTCTAAAATAATATTAGTAACAATTATATTTCACTCCAGTAGAAAGGTTTAGTCCTGCTAACTAGCCAACTCCCTTCACTAAACAACTGCCAAACAGAACATCGCATCTCAACAATTCAAGTAGTTGTTTTCAGGTTTACGAAAAATGATAGGAAAAACATTTTACCAACATAAAATTACATTTTAAAAGCAGTTTTCCTTGTCAATTATGTGACTTTGGCCATTTAAGGCTTCAGACAGAATGAACAGATTTCATTTCATTTATTTTTTCACTCCATTGAAATAAAAATATATTAATCCACAATCATGTTGCCAATCTCAATTGGCATTGGTGACAAATGGTTTGTAACAGACACCTGAATTCATTGCAGCATTTTGAGCAAGAGAGCGTTGGTCAGCTCCCCCAGTCAGTCCCCACGTATGTTGCTCCCTGCTTGATCAAGATGTCTATACTGTCTATACAGTATATATCTATACTCTGTACAAACATCAACCTGATTAGATTAGATACTTCGATGATAGCGAGGAATCAACCTTGAACAGTGACCTGATTCAGAAAACAGTCCTATTTCACAAAAAAATACATTTCAAAAGAAAGAGAAAAAAAAGCCTCTTTGTACATGTGCATACGGCAAGTGTCTCAGTCTGTCCTTTGTAGTGTCCAGTGACTGATAGTTTCAGTTTCTCACTGAACCATTCATTAATGATCTCGTCTGCAAGGTGATTTCAAGAGGAAAATATATGCTTGTATTTTTAATCTTGACGTCACCACGAGTTTCACAAGTAAACGCAAAAAGGGAAAATTAGCAACTTGTCCAATAAAACTAATCGCAGTGGAGAAATCCCCACACGACCCTGTAAAAACAAACTAATTAATGTTTTTTCTTTCCTCCATCAAGCATCAGTTTTCATCCATCCTCTGCAGAAACTAAGGAAGGACAGATCTGAAGTAAAAATAACTCTGTATCCTTAGATCCAGGCACACTGATAGACAGGTAGGATGGGGAAAAGGTAGGGAATGATGACAATCACATACATTAGAAACGTTCCCTAGAGGGTGCCTAGTCAAAGCACTCATTTACAAAATCAATTGATCACTTGCAAGATTGACTCCAAGAAAAAGAAAGAAAGAAAAAGAAACACTGCTCTTTATTATATATTAATTTGTCCTCTTTTTAATGTTAGCGGTAATTTTTACTTAATTTATTAATTTAATTGTTTTCATATTTTTCCTTTCTTAAGACTAAAAGGATTTTGTTTTTGATAACTGCTGTGTAGACAAGACCGACCGTAGCTTATCTTATCTGTACCCTGGGTGCTGGATGTGATCGGTTCTGCCGTCCCCGGGGCCAACCTCGGGCCCCACCCTGTTCATGGGAGGCCTGTGCATCTTACCCATCAGCCCCAGATTGTGATCTCGGAAGCAGGGCGTCTGGAAGTCCCCACCCAAGTAATCTGCCGTATGCACCAGACTAGTCTGGCCGGAGGAGGAGGAGCCCGCGCCGGGCCTGTAATGGCCTCCCCCAGGGGGCCCACCACAGTCTAGGGTGGTGGCGCCCCCTGGGGGCCCACCATGGAATGGCATGGACAGGTCCTGAGACCCGGAGCTGTCGCTGTTGGGCGTTGGCAGGATACTGCTGTTCCACACAGCGTGTGGCTGGAAATAGTGGCCACCGCTGGTGTAGTGGGCCAGTGGACCCCCAGGCATGCCATTGTTGTTGTTGTTGTTGACGGGGGGAGAGGGGGTGGGCTTCTCTATAGGAGGCTTCAGGCTGTATGGCTGGCCCACACACAGCTCCGGGGGGTAGCCCATGTGGGAGGGGTGCTTGCAGGGGTGGCCCCCGCCATCCTGCTGCATGTGCTGTAGATGAGCCAACTGCTGCTGGTTCCAGCGCATCTGCTGTTGGTGATTATGGTGGTGTTGTTGTTGTTGTTGTTGTTGTTGTTGTTGATGCTGTTGTTGATGCTGTTGTTCTTGATGCTGCTGTTGTAAATGCTGTTGGTGCTGCTGCTGCTGTTTGATATCATTGTGGTAAACAGGCATCCTGTTAATGGCAGCCATGTTGTTTTGGGGGTGAGAGGGGGCAGCAGCCTTGTTCGCGGGGCACATGATGCAGTTGGGGTGAGGGGGCAGCCCGGGGGGACAGACATTGGGGTGTGGGTGGGGGTGGCTGTGCAAGGACAACCTGGAGCTGGCGTTGATGAGGAGGTTGCGGCTGATGGGGCTGGGGTTGGCGATCTGGCCCTCGCACATGGAGGTGGCTCCAGCCCCCTGGGCCCGGGATTGGCAGAACTGGTTGATCTGGTGCATGATGCTGCTCAGGTCTGGCTGGCGGCCCTGGTTCAGGCCGGCGGCCATGGACAGAGGAATTGTTGAGGTAGAGACGGTCACGTTAGGCGGCGCATCAGCGTCTGGCAGCTTCCGGCCCCCCTGCAGGCTGGGAGGAGGCTGCCCCTGCTGCTGAACGTTCTGTTGCTGCTGCTGTTGGAGCAGGAGGGTGGAGCCAGAGGGAGGCTGGGGGTGGCCCAGGGCTGGGGGGTGGGACAGAGTCTGGGGCCTGGGCAGACTCTGCTCTGGGTGCTGCTGGGGCATGGGGTGTGGGTGTCTGAGGACCTGGCACTGACCCTGCTGCTGGGGGTGAGTCTGTTGTAGAGTCTGAGGGTGAGTCTGGCTCCCAGGGTGAGGGTGATGGCTCTGCCGGGGCATGCCCTGGCCCTGGCCTTGGGAAGGGGGGTGGTGGAGGTTTAAAGTGCTGGCAGAGGCCGCTGCTGCGTATGGTCCTCCGGGGCCAGGGGGGTTCATGATGACCTCGGAGGGGTGCAGGCGTACCCGGCTGCCATCAAAGTCTTTGAGGATGCCCTTGATGACGGGCATCTTGATGATGGCAAGGAGGCCGGCCTTGGCGCTAGCCTGAGAGGGGGGGTAGGGGCTATAGCGCTGGCCTGAAGTATCCAGCCCGTTGACTGTGCGGCGCACGTGGTTCCTCTGGGGGACCTTGACGCTGTTGGGGAAGATCTTAATGGTCAGGGGGTTGTTGGCAACCTTCTTAGCATAAGCATCCAATTCTGCAGGTGTTGGATATTGAGCAGATCTCATCCTCTGTGTAGTGTCCCCTGGGGTGATAGACAGAGACAGAGACAGAGGGGTGGAGGGGAGAAGGTGAGAGGGGGGAAGGACAAAGAGAAAGAGGGGAAGCGAGAGAGAAACGCGTTAACGCAGGTAAAAAGTAAAATGACAGGTTTCCCATCAGAAGAGCAGATGTGTGGTAATCTGAACTGAGGTTCTAAGGTTCTCTTCTGAGAAGAACAGAACCTGACTGACTTCAACAACATTATCACATTCCAAATCTCTGCGCTTCCCCTAACAGCACAGTGCTCTCATCTCATGGGGACACAACAGAAGCAGAGTCCCAAATGGCACCCTATTCCCATTATAGTGCACTACTTTTGGTCAAAAGCAGTGCAGTATATAGGGAATAAGGTGCCATTTTGGATACATACAGGGAGTTCTTGCCTGGATTCCCCTGCAAGCAAGCAACACATTCCATTCCTATTCCTATTCTGAAGTGCCATAGTAGGGGTAAGGGCTGTCAGTCATTCAGACAGTAGCAGAGAGGTCAGTAGCTTCTGGCCACGATGGGGCCATACTCAAACTTTTGCTTAGACCCGAGGTTGATACCAGTGGTCTAAAATGGCCAGCTGCTAGCTTTTCTCATAGGCCAACCTGGCACAATTAGCCACTATGCTGAGGACGACCAGCTGAGCACATAATTACATCTGGTAACAGATTCCATATCAGCCAATTAAAATCGTTAAACGTAGTTGGACTTGATCTAACACTTTTTCAAAAAAGCGTCCTTACCAGAAGTCCACCGGCACGTTCTGATAATCAAACTAACTATCACAAGTTGTAACATGACTGCACAAATAGCTCAGAGTGTAGAGTGCCGAGTTCTTGACAATTGCTGCAACTTGCGGCGTAGGTTCGTGTCCCCCACCGGATCAATTTTTTTCTTCCTTTTAAATATATAATTATATTTATTGTGTTCGTGTGCTGAAAAAGGAAGTACAGTCAACACCTTGAAAATGAAGGAGGCAGAGTGGCAAAGACAGGCAGAGAGAGTGTGGAGCAGCTCCATGACAGCAGACAGTAATCACACAGCGTCTCTGATCTCAGGAACACCACTGAGCCCTCTGACTGAGACATTTGTTTAAGCTGCTAAGCACCTCACTGGCTATATTTAACAATGCCCCAGTGTGTGTGCCGATGCTGTAGTGTGTGTGTGTGTGTGTGTCGTGTGTGTGTTTAGCATGTGCTAATGTGATTGCGTGTTTCAGTCTTGCAAACTGCTCTGCCTGCTGATGGCAGGCTCATTAATACAGGGGTCTGGGCCAGGCATTTGAGCTCAACACTCTCAATCATTGGCTGCTTAATTCCTGCTTCTGACTTAATGCCTGGGTAAGCAAACAGAGCACAGACACAACCGCAGCGCCTGCCCAGCCAGCCAGTCCCACCTTTGCAACTTTTGTTGCAGAGATGACTAATGACCTCCAAGAGCCATCTCTCCCTTCAATGACAGGAAGATCTAATCTAATCTAATCAAGATGTCCAATTTATCTAAACTGTACAATACTGTGCATGAGCGTGCATTGTGCATGTGGCTACGGGCACATCTGTGTGATCTCCAGCTGAAGAGATCCTCAGAGAGAGGAGAGACGGATAGCAAAACTACTGCACACTCAGTAAGACACAGGTTTTTATTCAAACTACTGTTTTCACCAAACAAGATTTAAACAGTAAGGAAGCCAAAGGCTCACGCTGTTTTAAATGAAAAATGTTTCGCACACTAGCAGGATATTGAATCTGAGACATCAGTGCCATACAGCAATGACAATTAAGGCCTCCTCGTCCCTTTTTCAATTTCACACTGCTCTCCCTCTCTGAGCGTTTCATAATGACAAGACAAGAGAGACTTAATTTAAACAGCAAGAGACTCGTAATGCTGACAGAGAGAATGTAGTCGTCATCTACTTCAGATCTCAGTATCTTCCCATGCAGCCCCTTCGGTAAAGTAGCTACTGAGAGAGTAAAATTGTTCTGCCTGCTCCATTTGTTGTACTTCGCTCTTATCTCTACATGCTTCCTTCTCTTCTCTGTTCTGTGGAGGAACCAGGGGGCCATTTCCACTTTCCAGGCACTTGAGCTGCTGAGGTTGACTGTCTCTCAACAGGCTCTGACTCAGTCTGACGACAAGCTGTTTCTGTGTGTTCCAGTGTGTACTTGACCCACTCCTCTCCTCTGCTCAGACAGCCCTTAACATTTCACAGCTATTGTGTGTGTGTGTTCATCTATTTAACATCTCTCCTCAGTCTCTCTCCCCAATGATAAATAAAGATGCTGCCTGGCCTGGACTCTAACAGCAACCTGCTAGCTCGTAACTTTACATGACTCTCCCTTGTACACACACGCACAGAGGAAAAGGATGGGAGGGGAAGAAACCACTACTAAAGGACACCAATAAGAAGAAGATACTTGCTTGGGCCAAGAAACATGAGCAATGGAAATTAGACCGGTGGAAATTTGTCCTTTGGTCTGATGAGTCCAAATGTGAGATATTTGGTTCCAACCGCCGTGGCTTTGTGAGACACGGTGTGGGTGAACGGATGATCTCAGCATGTGTATTTCCCACCGTAAAGCATGGAGGAGGAGGTGTTATGGTTGGGGTGCTTTGCTGGTGACACGGTCTGTGATTTATTTAGAATTCAAAGGCACAATAAACCAGCTTGGCTACCACAGCATTCTGCAGCGATACGCCATCCCATCTAGTTTGGGCTTAGTGGGCCTATCATTTGTTTTCAACAGGACAATGACCCAACACACCTCCAGGCTGTGTAAGGGCTATTTTTACCAAGAAGGAGAGTGATGGAGTGCTGCATCAGATGACATGACCTCCACAATCCCCCGACCTCAACCCAATTGAGATGGTTTGGGATGAGTTGGACCACAGAGTGAAGGAAAAGCAGCCAACAAATGCTCAGAATATGTGGGAACTCCTTCAAGAATGTTGAAAAAGCATTCCAGGTGAAGCTGGTTGAGAGAATGCCAAGAGTGTGCAAAGCTGTCATCAAGGCAAAGGGTGGCTATTTGAAGAACCTCAAATATAAAATATATTTTGATTTGTTTAACACTTGTTTGGTTACTACATGATTCCATATGTGTTATTTCATAGTTTTTATGTCTTCACTATTATTCTACAATGTAGAAAATAGTAAAAATAAAGAAAAACCCTGGAATGAGTAGGTGTGTCCAAACTTTTGACTGGTACTGTAAGTATTCAGACCCTTTGCTATGAGACTCGAAATTGAGCTCAGGTGCATCCTGTTTCCATTGATCATCCTTGAGATGTTTCTACAACTTGGAGTCCACATGTGGTAAATTCAATTGATTGGACATGATTTGGAAAGGCACACACCTGTATATACAGTTGAAGTTGGAAGTTTACATACACCTTAGCCAAATACATTTAAACTCAGTTTTTCACAATTCCTGACATTTAATCCTAGTAAGAAATTCCTTGTCTTAGGTCAGTTAGGATCACCACTTTATTTTAAGAATGTGAAATGTCAGAATAATAGTAGAGACATTGATATATTTCAGCTTTTATTTCTTTCATCACATTCCCAGTGGGTCAGAAGTTTACATACACTCAATTAGTATTTGGGAGCTTTGCCTTTAAATTGTTTAACTTGGGTCAAATGTTTCGGGTAGCCTTCCACAAGCTTCCCACAATAAGTTGGGTGAATTTGTACCCGTTTCCTCCAGCATCTTCACAAGGTCCTTTGCAGTTGTTCTGGGATTGATTTGCACTTTTCGCACCAAAGTACGTTAATCTCTAGGAGACAGAACGTGTCTCCTTCCTGAGCGGTATGACGGCTGCGTGGTCCCATGGTGTTTATACTTGCGTACTATTGTTTGTACAGATGAACGTTGTACCTTCAGGCGGATGAACCAGACCTGTGGAGGTATACAATTTTTTTGCTGAGGTCTTGGCTGATTTCTTTTGATTTTCCCATGATGTCAAGCAAAGAGGCACTGAGTTTGAAGGTAGGCCTTGAAATACATCCACAGGTACACCTCCAATTGACTCAAAGTATGTCAATTAGCCTATCAGAAGCTTCTAAAGCCATGACATCCCTTTCTGGAATTTTCCAAGCTGTTTAAAGGCACAGTCAACTTAGTGTATGTAAACTTCTGACCCACTGGAATTGTGATACAGTGAATTATAAGTGAAATATCGGTCTGTAAACAATTGTTGGAAAAATTACTAGTGTCATGCACAAAGTAGATGTCCTAACCGACTTGCCAAAACTATAGTTTGTTAACAAGACATTTGTGGAGTGGTTGAAAAACGAGTGTATGTAAACTTCCGACTTCAACTGTATAAGGTCCCACAGTTGACAGTGCTTATCAGAGCAAAAACCAAGCCATGAGATCGAAGGAATTGTCCGTAGAGCTCTGAGACAGGATTGTGTCGAAGCACAGATCTGGGGAAGGGTGCCAAAAAGATTCTGCTGCATTGAAGGTCAAAGAACACAGTGGCCTCCATCATTCTTAAACTGAAAAAGTTTGGAACCACCAAGACTCTTCCTAGAGCTGGCCACCCGGCCAAACTGACCAATTGGGGGAGAAGGGCCTTGGTCAGGGAGGTGACCAAGAACCCGATGGTCTCTCTGACAGAGCTCCAGAGTTCCTCTGTGGAGATGGGAGAACCTTCCAGAAGACCAACCATCTCTGCAGCACTCCACCAATCAGGCCTTTATGGTAGAGTGGCCAGACGGAAGCCACTCCTCAGTAAAAAGGCACATGACAGCCCGCTTGGACTTTGCCAAAAGGCACCTAAAGACTCTCAGACCATGAGAAACAAGATTATCTGGTCTGATGAAACCAAGATTGAACTCGTCACGTCTGGAGGAAACCTGGCACCATCCCTACAGTGAAGCACGGTGGTGGCAGCATCATGCTGTGGGGATGTTTTTCAGCGGCAGGGACTGGGAGACTAGTCAGGATCGAGGGAAAGATGAACGGAGCCAAGTACAGAGAGATCCTTGATGAAAGCCTGCTCCAGAGTGCTCAGGACCTCAGACTGGGGCAAAGGTTCACCTTCCAACAGGACAACGACCCTAGGCACACAGCCAAGACAACGCAGGAGTGGCTTCAGGACAAGTCTCTGAATGTCCTTGAGTGTACCCAGCCAGACCTGGACTTGAACCTGATCTAACATCTTTGGAGAGACCTGAAAATAGCTGTGCAGCGACGCTCCCCATCCAACCTGACAGAGCTTGAGAGGATCTGCAGAGAAGAATGGGAGAAACTCCCCTAATACAGGGGTGCCAAGCTTGTAGCATCATACCGAAGAAGACTCGCGGCTGTAATCGCTGCCAAAGGTGCTTCAACAAAGTACTGAGTGAAGGGTCTGAATACTTATGCAAATATGATATTTCCGTTTTTAATAAATTTGCGAAACTTTCTAAAAACCTGTTTTTGCTTTGTCACTATGGGGTATTGTGTGTAGATTAATGAGGGGTAAAAAACACAGCCTTATTCTAAAATGGATTAAAGTAACTTAACAAAATGTCAAGGGGTGTGAATACTTTCCGAATGCACTGTACACTAGAGCTGGGATGATAAACAGAACATTTTGCTTTATTTTTAAACCAACATTTTGCTTACAATGACCATAATCCATTGCGCGCCTACTTGTCCAGTTTGTGTCTTTCTTTTACGCTTGCTATGTTAGGTTGGTGTGGGGCAGACATGGAGGGAGACAGAAGAATGCGCGATCAAGCGGGATAAGAGAGCAGTTGCTTCGTGAGGTATCTCTACCTGAAAATACATGATCTAAGTGATTGATAGTTGGTATTCAGCAGTCATAAAAGTATGCCTTATTTACTTTGAAGAACTACTAAATAGTGAATTTGTCAGACAGAATAGGCAGCAGCTCTAGCGATGAGATGACTTGAAATGAAATAAAGTCATCAAATAAAACAAATGTAATATTTTATTAAAGTAAAGTAATGTGAATACATGATGGTTAAGTGATAAGCTGCAATGGGCAGTCACTACCATCATGGGACTTTTGTTAATTGTTTTATTGTGCGGTTACAGCATTCTGCCCACATAATGCATAGTGCATTTAATGTTTAAAAAAAGATTGAAACCAAAATCTGTGAAAAATAAATACTGGAACCGAAACCGACCTCAAGAAGCACTAATCGCTCAGCACTACTATCTAGCAACAATATCATTTAGGGTTAGCAATCTAGCGAATGTGTTTTGAGTTCCCACTTCCTCATGTGGTGAATTATGTAGCATATAGCCTAAGCCAATATGCACAAAAAAGATGCAGGCAAATTAATCTCTAAAGAGCCTAAAATAAATCTGCCCATTCTGAATCCTATTTTGACATGCTGCACATCAAAATATCCATCATGCAGTCCCTGAACATGTCAGATGAAATAGCAAACTTATTGAATGTCTTACTTGGCACTGGAAAAGTCAGTCTAGAGCCCTGCCACTAATTGAAAGTAACTGCGCATAATTCTTTTTATTTCTCTTTAGAGCAAAATGGGTTAATTTATAACTTTTTGTTCATACCGCCCTGCTCTACTCTACACCTAGCTCCTTTCCATGAGAATTTCTTAAGATATTTAATACGTATTCCCCTTACCACTGATGACACTCCTCACCTTGGGGGAAAAAAAATTACAGTCCCAAGTCCAGTCTTTACTGTCAAAAATGATGTCAGAGAGACAATGTGTTCTGTGGCATGTATCGACAGCCTGGAGATAGATGGCCTGCTACATCACTAAAGAACCCTTGTTAGACCAATTAGGGCCCTGAAGACAGGATCCTGTGGCTCTGTGTGACCAACCAGGGCCCTGTAGCCAGGACCCTGTGGCTCTGTGTGACCAACCAGGGCCCTGTAGCCAGGATCCTGTGGCTCTGTGTGACCAACCAGGGCCCTGTAGCCAGGATCCTGTGGCTCTGTGTGACCAACCAGGGCCCTGTAGCCAGGATCCTGTGGCTCTGTGTGACCAACCAGGGCCCTGTAGCCAGGATCCTGTGGCTCTGTGTGACCAACCAGGGCCCTGTAGACAGGACATTGTGGCTCTGTGTGACAGTCCCTATTCTATGGGACAGATGCCTTAAGGCGTCAGCATGCTTCAGTTGGGCTGGCGCCTAGCCGAGAACTAAACGAGTGTGCTCGCATACTCCCTTAAAAGACCTTCGCTTGAAAAACTAGAACAAAGCAACAATAGTACTGTTTGTCCATTTTGAGATGCCGTAGCCAGTATACACTTCCGAAAAATAGTCAGAATTAATCTAAGATAACTCAAGAAATATGTCATTAATTTTGACGTTTTTGCAGAGGAGATCTTAGATGTAAAAGATGTTTGGTGCAGTATTTCTCAATGAACAACTGTGCATGAAAACGAGTTGTCTCTCGTTGATGACGGACTTTCTTGAAGAATCCCTACTGTTGACCGATCACGACGAAGGGGCATAGACTTCGTCTACCAACTTCGGCATGTCTCGAGAAAACGTTTTGTGTGTCCAAACAGCTGAAAAAAACCTTACCCATGTCCAAAACGAACAACAACGTCATCTAATATATGCACAAACTGTTTCGGAAGGGAAACATGTGGATGCCTTTAAACACACAAACAGCTCTCGATTCCAGATATCGTCATGGGAGCAGCTCCATAGGGAGCTCTGAGCAGGGAAAGAGGCAGAAGGACAAGGGGAGAAAACATATTTTTCTGTTGTTGTTTGAAAGGGGTGGTCTGAAGACAGAATAAACCCCTAATGAAATATCTCAGTTGGATTTTGATGTTACAACGCCTTCCTTATCATTGCTTTCAAGCCTAGCAGATGAAAAGGAAGGGGATTCTTGTGTGAGAAAATAATGAACAAGAACTAGTTTAGCGAGAAAGAGAACAATTCCACATCTACATTTCCTTCAGAATAGCCCCTGTTCGAGTGATATATGCCCAATCAACAAAATGGATCACACCAGACTATCAGGGAGAACAACAAATCAAACTTTTACTTTCAGCCCTACTACTTTGATGTGCATCACAGAACACAGCAGCAGTGCAGCAGGTGACAGACATAAAAAGGCCCACTGAGATTTACATTATTTTGCTGTTTTTCGAATTACGGAGTGGACCTTTTCAGAACCAAGCTTGTTCCACTGTACTCTGTCACATGCCTTCTTGCAAGAGGAGAGGAGATGGAACAAAACAACATGGCGGACGTTGGCACTTAGCGAGACTCCCCCTCGCTCGACACTGCTGTGCTCCTGGGGGTAGGCTGATTACAGTGATTCTGAAATTACAGTCTTGATGAGCCATAGAGACGGAGTGAGACAGAGAGCGTTTTATAACACACAAAACTGCTGCGGAACTAGGTCAGACTGGGGCTGGGAGCGAAAGAGATTCCTCCAAGTATGAGGGGACATTCTCTAGAAATCTCTGAGCCTCAGGGAGAGGGGGAGATGTGGGAATCTAAATTAAGCTGTCTGTTGGGGTGGCTATGCCCTGGGCTGGGTGGGTCTGATCAATAATGTACATGACTGAGTCAGAGGGGTTGGTTTAAATGCGGAAGACACATATCAGTTGAATGCATTCAGTTGTACAACTGACTAGGTATCCCCTTTCCTTTCCTTTATGATAATGTCATTTACAAGGTCCTGGATAGGAGATTTGAGAAGCTTTCTACAGGACTTTGCACCAGTTCTGAGGGACCAAAAAGACTGGGAAAGACATGCATGGGTGTCCATTGTTCAACACAACATGTATGTCCTGTTACTCCCATTAGGTTGTACATGTTGGGCACTGTAACCATTATGTGATAGTAAACCATAGTAATCTCAGAAATGAATTCAGTACCGGCAAACACCGAAACGATTTACGACTATTGACTGACACATAATAATCCATAAGGTGTATGTGTATATGAGAGATATGTCACCTGTTCAGTACCTCACCCCAGGGGAGAGAGGGAGGGGTGGGGGTTTTGTGGTGTCACATGGAGACAGGTGAGACTGCTTGAGAGAAGGGCGTGTTGTTCACACACAAACACAAACATCCTGCTCAGTGTGCTGGTGGCTGGCTGTTGACTGGCTGCCTGGTCCGCCTCGTTTCTCATCCTAACGAGATTGGCTTCCTCATTATCACCGGAACGCATCCCAGTGGGAGACAGGTCTTTAGGGGGGAGGACAGGGAGGATGGGTGAGAGAGGGAGGGAGGCGAGCGCAGAACTTTCCCAAGCAAGTTATTAGTGCAGACTCATCCCCTGACTTCTCCTTCAATTGTGATCTATTGTATTGGAGCACAACACTTTTTCTTTCTCAGTCGTCTCTTTTGGTTTTGACACAAGGCTGTTAGAGAGAACCAGGCCAGCACTCAGCAGCTCTGTTCATCTGATGTGGGGTGGGCAGCAGGATTTTAGCAACCTGGTGTGTGTGTTCTGTGTGTGTAGGAGAGTAGAGTAGAGACACTTACATTTCTGAAGTCCAGTGTTCATCTGCGTGTGGGAGAGAAGCTGGAGGGAGAGGTCACCTGGCCCTGGCAGACAGGCCAGCATTTCACACAGACACTAATGCAACATGGGACACTGGGTCCTCCTCACACTGCAGAGGGAGAGAGAGAGGGGGGGGGGGAAGAGGTCAGACATAGCTGCAGGGCCACATATGCTACATGGCGATACTACAGTAATAGTATAGAGCAGCACAGGGATGGCTAATAGAACCCTCGGTCCCCTGGGGGGGGAAGGTTCAGGGAGGACACATAGTTACCATTCAATTAGAAAGTGTTTCACACCTGGAGCATCAGGTAAAGGTGACATTTGATGTGAATAACAACTCCAATTAAAACATCAAACAGCTAGTGGTAAAACGTGGGGCTGATTCTGCCAACAGGCATTGGCAGCTTTAAAATTACTCTCTCACAGTCACACACCGTGTGTTAGTTAGGTGGTACGACCCTGCAGCTACCTGTGCATTGCCTCTACAAGACCTTGGCAGGAGGAATAGGTTACCCTTATATGAATGTGTGTGTGTGGTGCACTCCACTCAAAGAACCGACTCCAGAGAGCAGTAGTAGAAACATGGCAGTAAGTACCAGATCAATACTACGGTCCCCAACCAGGCCTCAAGAGGATAGCACTACAACATGTGTAGCGGTACATTTAGGGGACATCAAACAAAGTACAGTAATAGAGACCCAACCGTATGAAAAAAATTAATAACAAGGTACTTTGAATAGTGAGGCTGTGTGTGTGTGAGAGAGGTTGCCACCGAGTACCATAATCGGAGGTAACAGCAGCAGCAGAGAGAGAACAGCTTTAATTGAAGTCTGCTTCACTTACAGTATTCAAAACACCACAGATGCTTGCTTAATCAGCACGGAAGGACAGTCAGGGAGCAAATTAAGTCGACAGAGTGCGTTGCCCTGTGCCCTTCTCCTTTGCTGCCATGTGGCATCTGAACAAACACTGGAGCACAGACAAAAACCACACACACACCGCGTTGTTATGAGGGAGGCAATTACCCACCAACAACCTTGGCATGGCCGTCTGCCGCAGGGTGGCGGCTTAAAAGCGCCTGTCCCCCGTAGAGGGGGGAGAGAAAGGGGAAGGGAGAGGAGGGGGGTGAGATGAACTCTTTTAAAACACAGGCGCTGAAAAAGGTCAGGATGACAGCTCTTTTAAAACCTCCCAGCGAGGGGAAAGAAAACAAGCCTTAATGAAGCTGGCAGTTACACAGAGAGAGATACCCGAGTTGGAGCTGTCTGTGCTGCACCTTGGGGTCTGGGTGGGGGGGGTATGGGGTCGGGGAGGGGGGCAGCTTGGGGAGGACAGTTGGGGGCTGTGGAGGGGGTGGAAGGGTGGCATGACGGGGGGAGAGGGTGGTAGAAGGAGTGCCCTCTCTCTTACCAGCAGACAGATCTAAGGATTTGCTGCTGTTCCATTCTGTGCGGCCAGGGTGATGTGGCGAATTTCAGTGCCGGTCTTAAAACCGCAAGGGAGATTTTCCGCTTTTTCTCTCTCCATTCATCTTAGTGCCAACGTTTCTCGATAAGGATTACAAGAATGTTTTCAAGAACACAAAGGCATTGGGGTGGAGGTAGTCAACCTCACATTAAATGCAGACGTGTAGAATTTAGATAGACGAGGAAGGGAGGGTTACCAGTCAAAGCAATCCCAACTTTCGATTGGTTTGTTTTATACACACCCAGAGGCATCTAACACACACACAATCCTCCTCCCCCACAGCGCCCCTGAATGTCAGAAAACTGGGGAGCGCAGCAGCAAAGGTCAGCCTACGGTAATGCTCCAGCTGACACTCTGCTTTAGAGTTGTAGAGAGACTACAGCAAGAGATGATGAAACCAGACAGACAGACAGGGCCCTGGCCTGACATCCACCCAGTCACTATGACACATCCACTTCAAATACACATCAGACAGAAAATAAAACACAGGCTCTTTCAACAATACAAACACTCAGATAGTGCAGTAAGACTATCTCTAGCACAGCTATGAAATATCAGATGCTGCAGCAGGGCTGTATGTGTGTGTTTGTGGCTTCTGCTACTCCAACGGATTCCTAATTGCCCACAGGGTAAAACCCAGGTGGGTTAGATTGGTATGGTGTGGACTTTACTCTGCAGTGACCCAGGCAGGCACCTGTATATCCAGCCAATTGCAATCCTTACTCGTCTTGCGTGAAGTGTGTTTGTGGAGTCATGGCTCAGCCACTGGAGTTAAGCCAGGCGTCTAACACTGAGTGACCCAGACACCCCTGGTGCTTTCATCATGGCATTAGGGACCCCATGACATGATGACGCAGCAAGTGGCTCTCCAGTCTCCACCACAACTCACATACATCTATAATAGTATCTTAAATCATTGGGTGAGCCTATTTTTATAAGAGTGAAGTGATGAGATAATGCCGTATTTGAAGACTGATGCATGCACATCCACAACTTCAAGGCTTGTCTCATCTTTCCTCCATTTCTCAGGGGCAGAACAACTCTCCCATCTGTGGAGAAAAAACTGTGTGATAGGACCATTTAGAAAATGCCACCAGCCAGCTATAATCATGCCTCTGATTGCTTTGGTCAATATCCCCCCACGTCAGGGCAATCTGCATTGGTTACACATCCAGGAGGAACTGTAGGAAATGTACTATAGGGCTAATTGCAGAGAAAAACAACCCAATGCTGTAGGGGCTGGAAGAGGGGTTTAGCTGTAGTGTAGCCTATGTAAGGGGAAAACTAGTGCATGCCAGTGTGTGTGTGTGGTGTGTGTGTGTGGTGTGGTGTGTGGTGTGTGTGTGTGTGTGTGTGTGTGTGTGTGGTGTGTGTATGTGAGTGAAAACTAAGAGTTCAGCATCAAAATAAGCAGCTCATTAGAAAAGATGATTCCAAAAATGCTTCCGTGTTATAAAAACAAGGTGAGAAGAAAACCCTGTTTGGTTGGTTGGTTGCATTAACAGCTAGTCCTTAGCAGTCTTTCCCAATTAAAGGCGAAAGCAATTAAGAGAGCTAAGCCTTTGTGTTGTTCCATTGTTTGTGATAATGGCTGAGGGAGGAGAGGAGAAAGCAGAGCAGGCTGTGTGCTGCTGTTATTTAATTGTGTTTACCCTGAGGTTATAGTGTCCATAATAGAGCCAAGGAAAAATCTTGTTGGGAGAAATTCATTGTATCCTTAGTGTGTTGTGTGTGTGCGGATTCTACCAGGGAGAATTAAATGACTTTTCTTTTGCAAGCGAGGAGAGCTGAATGCCTGGGGGAAAGAAAGAGAAACAGAAAGAAAAGAAAAGCTTTTTACCCTTGAATTCCGAACCAGAGCATTCTAAATGAAAAAAGCCCTCGCTTGCTCTTGTGTGTGTTACTCAGAACTGACTGTCCACATCAGTGTGGCCTTCATTAGCCCATCTGGGTTGTACAAACAGTAAGAGCGGAACAGGATTGAATGAAACAGTGTTGCTGCTAGCCCAGGGCCCACAGGCACTGATGTTCTGTTCCACTGTGTGTGTACCACATTCTCACACAAAAGAGTTCCTGATGACTGTAGCAGATCCTGAGGTGTTTAGTCCTGGGCTGGCTGACTTTTTTTTTTTCAACCATAGAGACGCCAGCCCTCATCAATCTGGAATGTTATTTGCAACTAAAGAGAATGTATGTGTACTGTGTATTTAAATGAGTGAGTGAGGGAGGGGAGAGAGAGTCAGTATGGCACTGTTTCCAAACAGGCAACACCAAAGGTGTCAAAAATCAAACAAGGAAATCGCATTGGTGGTTGAGGGAGAGAGAGCTACTCTGAGTTTAGGCACTTAGTTTTGGGGGGGGGGGGGGGGGGGGGGGGTAACAGATTAACTGACACTTCTCTAATTAAATGTGAAGGGGGGATGGAGGAGAAGAGGAGCTGCCAGCCAGTGAGCCAGAAACAGCCTCCACCTAAAATAGTGATCAGTCCGCACTTGGATGATCTCGGACTGTCAGTGTCACAGAGGAGGAGAAGTCTGTTTACAATTAGAGCAGAAGCACTTAACAGGACGTGATGTCATGACAGGAAAGGGAGGGGGGAGGGAAAAAAACACAAAATGTATGAGCCCTCCTATCACCCCATTGGCCTCATTCCTCATCCATTGCGTAGTGTCGGTCTTTAACATCAGTGGCTCTCATCTTTAGCCTGAATGAGAGCCTCTGGCCCTGCCCCTAGCCAGTCAGCCAACAGAGTACTGACTGGCTCCTCATCCATGCTGGTCACTAGAAACAGCCGGTGATTTTGGACATTTGAAAAGGTCCTGAGAACGTCGATATATGACTTCCGCGGCGCTTACAAAAAAACGAACAGGAGCTTGCTGCTTAGACCACTGCGCTACGGCAGATCACAATGCTTTAGCAAGCTGTGAGAATATTATGAACACTGACGATACCTAGCGCGTCATTTTCTATTACTTTGTTTTAAGCCTTCCCCAAACCATAGCCCTAACCACTCAGAATGAATGGCTATACTGTTAACCTTTTGAGTTGTTTCTGTTTTAACCCTGTAACCATGAGGAATTAACCCTGTAATCACATGGAATTAATGCATCAAAAATAGACATTCATCCATAATACGTTGAATTTCGAAGGGAAACTATGATATATTGTTGCCTAGCTGGGGAAGGAAACAGAGGGTGCTTCTGAAATGGCACCCTATCTCCTATTGGCCCTGGGTCAAAACGAGTGTACTATATTGGGAATAGGCTGCCATTTCAGACACATGGCTCCTAGGACTAGTAGAGTGAGTGAATGTATGAGTCAGGAGATATGACCTGGTGGTGTCCTGACCTGATCGCATCCCGAGGCTATAGTCATTACAACACACACCTACTCAAGGGCTGAAAGGACTGACTGTGGGCCAGTAAGCCATGGAGAGTCTTGTCCAGCCACCACAACTCTAGTCGGGCACTCACTGTAATGACCACTCATGGCTCCTTGATGTGGGAGGTGCGAGACTGGAGTATGTGTGTGTGTGTCCATGCTCAAAGTTAAGGCACTAGTCTTGAGAAGCCGACAGAGGTGCATGCATCGCATGCTGACCGGAATACCAATTTCCCTGGTCCCTTCTACTAGTGTCATTTGACGGACGTGTTTACACCGAATGTAAAATGTGTGGACGGCCCCGCCAATACAGAGCAGATCCAAACTGAAGGATGCCTGGCTTCTTATTTATTTACCCATCTATCTAATCTACATCCATCCACAGTACAGACAGTCAGAGGGCTGGAGAGGAAAAACCAACTGCTTCCAGAGATGTGACAGTCTAAAAACCTAAAAATGTGAAAGAGAGAGAAAGAGGAGAGAGAAATCCCAATTGCTGACATGCATTAAAAACCACAGCGAGATCTATGTGCAGCGCTCTAGAGCTGTAGGTTTTTAAACACACCAACTAAAAGTCCTACATTTGATTTAGACACACTAAATACACCTAACGCTAAATCTGATTAAGTTGCTTGCCTTTCAAATTAAATCAGCCCAGGGAGTTTTATAAAAACAGCCGTGGCAAGGATCTGTGGCTGTGGCGGCCATTACTCTTTCTGCTCTGCAATTAACAGAGTACCACTTGGCAGTTGGGTTTGGAGCAGAGTATGTGAGCGGAGTTGAGCGGTTGGAAATTCCACTCATCACTTCTTTGCGCACCGCTCTGGCACTCAACGTCCTTTCCCCGCTCCAAATTCAATCCATACATTTTTTGTTTAAAAGGAACATTTAACAAACACCCCACGTACTTTTGTGACTATGTACTATTTGGTTTTGAACTAGGTTATCGTAACAGTTCAACAACTTGTCGTAGGCTATTAAACAAGGACCTACCTGATGATATGCGGCCGCTGTGTTAAAAAAACAAAATTGCCTTTTCTCTAATCTATTGATGATCAGATACTTCAGTTGTAAGTGACGCTGTTGTGCTCACATTTTACGGTTGATAAACTTAAGACTATGGTGCTGCTGCATGGGCTCATTCGTTGTCTTGCTACCAATTACACAGGCTGTGACACCCATTTGTGACACCCCATTGGAACGGGAGAGAAGGCCAACTGCAAACATTTTTTTAATCTGCTCCACGCTCCAGCCACATTACGCACGCTCCGCTCCTCTGGTTTGGAGCAGCCCTGGTCTGCAACTGTTCAAACACAGATTGGCGGATGACAGATGCCGGCGTGGGAGAGGGACTTACATGCCACGGGAGAGGAGAGCCCATACTCTACAGTATACCCTCTCAGGTGTAGGCTAACCACACTACAGCCCTGAGATAGGCCTAGTCGTCCTCATATAAGAGCAACATTGTTCCTTTTCTATCTTTCTAAATCCCACAGAGTTTAGCTCTTTATCAAAAGGAGACAACAATGCAGCCAGGCAGTCACATGTTGAGATGACTGACACCTATACCAAGCTATGTACTGTTTGTAACAGCACTACTGCAGATAGCACATTGAAAAATTCAGGTCAAATTCACAGGTTTTCCAGAAATCCTAGTTGAAGGTTTCCCAGATGTCCTGCTTAATCCCTCCTGGTTTTAATCTTCAAACTGGGATTTCTGGAAAACCTGGGAAAGTTACTGAACATTTTGCAACCCTATACATTTACAAGCCATACCACAGAAAGGCGGGAGGGAGTGAGTGAGGTGGGGTTAATGTGAGAATCCTGCCTGGTGTCTGTGGGTTGTCCCCTGAAGGGACACTAGAGTTTCAGAAGCACTAATATTTTACAGTCGTGGTGTGGGCCTGCCTCAGAGAAACCTACCACACAGCCAGTTAGGCAAGGAATTACAGCTATGCCCACGGTAACATTCCCAGCAATACAATCTAACACATCTTGAATGTGTGTGTGTGAGCGCTTTGAAATGTGTGCGTGTGATATTTACATTTTAGTCATTTAGCAGATGCTCTTATCTAGAGCGACTTACAGGAGCAATTTGGGTTAAGTGCCTTACTCAAGGGCACCGACAGATTTTTCACCTACATAGTAGGCTCGGGGAGTCGAACCAGCAACCTTTCGGTTACTGGCCCAACACTCTTAACCGCTAGGCTACCTGCCGCCTGATATGCGAATGAATGTGACATAAAATGTGTGCGTACTGTGCAGCCTGATTCAAAATGTGTGTGAGTATGTCTAAAATGTGTGTGTGATTGAGTGCATACTGCACAAGCAGGCGGAGAAAGGAGAGGGGGCCAGATGCCAGCGTTATGTGTTTTCTGACCTGTCAGACCTAGTGAAAAACTGTTTAATACCAGCCAGCACCTTCTCCCATGGCCCCACAGATTGGCCCAGCCCAAACACAACTGTGCAGCCCAGCCTCTCCATTATGGTTTAGTCTCAAATGGGCTTGACTCAGTCTGTCCAAAAGGGCACCCTATTCCCTATATAGTGCACACTTTGACCCAATGGACCCTGGTCAAAGCTAGTGTACTATATAGGGAATAGGGTGCCCTTTCAGACCTAGCCTGAGTGTGTGTGTGGAAAGAGCAGAGCTAATGCACAACAGCATTGTTCCAGGCGGGCTAGCGCAGCAGCATAGAGAAATGAAGATGGAGTGGCTTGATTTCATTTGTGAGCAGGTGCATCCATTTTGTGCTGCTCTTCCCCCCACCTCGTCTGCCTCTCTCAGTCAAGCGCTTATCAGAAATTGGACACTCCGGTGACAAATTGAGCCTGCGATTAAAGGGAGAAAGAGGAAAGCTTTTAAAGTGCTGCTGATTGGGATCCCAGGCTGTCCTCACGTAGGAATCAGAGGTGGGGTGGTGTGTGCGCGCACATGTGGAACAGTGCCTCCTGACACCCCCCTCTCTCCAGGTGTTCCTACGCCACATTTCTGCTCCGAGTGCTCAGCAAACAGATCCAAATCAATGCAGCAGTTCCTCGGACGGACACACACACACACACAATCCCTAGCCAGCTGTAAGATGGGCCTTGAGCAGCATAATGACTCCCTGCATGACCAGCGTGATTTCCCATTCCCTCTCTGAGTGTGAGAGTCCAGGGTGCGTTCAGCAGGGCACAATGTAGCGTAACGTTCAGATGGAAATATGTTATGTAGAACAAACATGCCTCTCTGAGAATAAGGAATCATTTCAGCTCTATTCATGACATTTCTATTTGTGGAGAGGTAGGAGAGGAGGGGAGGAGAAGAGGAGAAGAGGGGACAGGAGGACTTGGGCGTAGGCAGCCACAGCACCAGGGTGTCAGGCAGCTTGATTTAGGAGTAGGGTCAAAGCAGCTCCAGTAGTCTGAGATGTGGGAGAGCTAAGGCCAGCTAAGGCCATTAAATCATCCTAAAAGGGCTTAACACACAAACCACGAGGCAGGCAGGCAGGCAGTGTTACATAGCCAGCCAAAGCACTGAGCAGAGCAGAGCAACGCCGCCCTCAACCTGGCTAGGACATTTATTCACAGTGCCATTAAACTATCCCGGCCTCACATAGCCTAAATACACAGACACAGTGAGATACGCACACCAAAATGTAGTGAGAGGCCTGCCATGCCCTCCCTGTATGCCTGACCCTTTTTCCCTGCATGTATTGGATTTCCTGGTCGATACAACCCAAAAGGTGAAACAATTATATTTTCTCTCCATGTACAGCAGCAGGTAAGGTCAGCTCAATGGCAGCGCTGACATTCAGTCTGGGCCCACCAGAGAGCCAGAGCCCCTCACACAGGGCCTGTCTGGGATAAAAGAGATCATTCTCCCTGGGCCAGAGTGTCTAAAGGTGTGTCGCCATGAGCAGAGAGAGCAGCGGATATTTGGGCTCCCTTCATCTCCTGTATGTGTGTGCGACTGCATGCGTCCCATCCAGGCAGGCAGGCGCCAGCCCCAGCCCTTGTCCAGTCAGCCGCTCTCTCAGAGGGTAGCCAGGCAAACACTGGGCCGGCATGGCAAACATCTCAACCCTGTGTTTGCATGGGAACATCTGGCCCTCCCAGGCTCACAGAGCGGCAGCCCCGGCCAAAGCACACCGCACTGTCCATCTATCTGTCTAAAGCATACCACAGAGTCTGTCTGTCTCCCACATACAGTCAGCGCCTCTCTGCCCTTGCCACTCACTGGGAGAGGAGGGAGGGGATGGAGGGGAGGAAGCATGGTCTGCATGGCAAATACCTGATTGTATTTTTTTTTTTTTGTGTGTGTTTAGAGTATTACTCCAAAAGAACTAGGCCTACGCCAGTTATGGTTAGAAAGAGCAACAACACACACACACACACAGATAGTCACACATACACTCTTGCATCATGCCCTCTCGAACTACAGTTGAAGTCGGAAGTTTACATACACTTAGGTTGGAGTCATTGAAACTTGTTTTTCAACCACTCCACAAATTTCTTGTTAACAAACTTTAGTTTTGGCAAGTCAGTTAGGACATCTAAGTAATCTTTCCAACAATTGTTTTACAGACAGATTATTTCACTTATAATTCACTGTATCACAATTCCAGTGGGTCAGAAGTTTACATACACTAAGTTGACTGTGCCTTTAAACAGCTTGGAAAATTCCAGAAAATGATGTCATGGCTTTAGAAGCTTCTGATAGGCTAATTGACATCATTTGAGTCAATTGGAGGTGTACCTGTGGATGTATTTCAAGGCCTACCTTCAAACTCAGTGCTTCTTTGCTTGACATCATGGGAAAATCAAAAGAAATCAGCCAAGACCTCAGAAAAACAATTGTAGACCTCCACAAGTCTGGTTCATCCTTGGAAGCAATTTCCAAATGCCTGAAGGTACCACGTTCATCTGTACAAACAATAGTACGCAAGTATAAACACCATGGGACCACGCAGCCGTCATACCGCTCAGGAAGGAGACGCGTTTTGTCTCCTAGAGATGAACGTACTTTTGTGCGAAAAGTGAAAATCAATCCCAGAACAACAGCAAAGGACCTTGTGAAGATGCTGGAGGAAACAGGTACAAAAGTATCTATATCCACAGTAAAACGAGTCCTATATTGACATAACCTGAAAGGCCGCTCAGCAAGGAAGAAGCCACTGCTCCAAAACTGCCATAAAAAAGAGACTACGGTTTGCAACTGCACATGGGGAAAAATATCGTACTTTTTGGAGAAATGTCCTCTGGGCTGATGAAACAAAAATAGAACTGTTTGGCCATAATGACCATCGTTTTGTTTGGAGGAAAAAGAGGGTGCTTGCAAGCCGAAGAACACCAACCGTGAAGCACGGGGATGGCAGCATCATGCTGTGGGGGTGCTTTGCTGCAGGAGGGACTGGTGCACTTCACAAAATAGATGGCATCATGAGGAAGGAAAATTAGATGGATATATTGAAGCAACATCTCAAGACATCAGTCAGGAAGTTAAAGCTTGGTCGCAAATGGGTCTTCCAAATGTACAATGACAAACATTTTACATTTACATTTTTAGTCATTTAGCAGACGCTCTTATCCAGAGCGACTTACAGTTAGTGAATACATTTTTTTTTTTTATACTGGCCCCCCGTGGGAATCGAACCCACAACCCTGGCGTTGCAAACGCCATGCTCTATCAACTGAGCTACATCCCTGCCAGGGAATTTTTACTAGGATTAAATGTCAGGAATTGTGAAAAACTGAGTTTAAATGTATTTGGCTAAGGTGTATGTAAACTTCCGACTTCAACTGTACCTAACTCACACAGCCATCTTTCCCCTAGCTGTCCGATGGTTAAAGACTGATGAGGCCCGCTCAAAGGTCTATGCGATTGAACGCAACATTAATGCACCAGCAGCAAATTTTTCGCCATCGACCCTCTTTCCTCTGCAATAAGGCTGGAGGCATCAATCAGAATGAGATAGCAGACATGGGCTGAAGAAGGAGGGGACTTTGGATGGAGCAGATTAATGATGAATGGATCTCTGAGATATGGCTTGGCTAGAACAGCCCAGACCAGGGCGGCTCAGAGGACAAATGACCTTTAACAAAATCGACATGAACTAAACAACACCACCACCTCACTATCACGTCAACACCACACAAACTACATCATTTTCATTTGCCTTATATAGGCCTACAGCCAAGGTCTTCAACCTTTTCTTGTCCCTAGGACCCACTCCTAGGCAAACCGGCGACCCCCATCATATATTAGTACATTTGTCTTATCGTCAGGTGAATGATAATGGCAAGGAGAAGTAATCAACATTTTAAAATGAATAGATTTGGTCGTTTTTAATTATTTTGACCTCCCTACATTATAACTGGAAGAGGAAGTGTAAACTAACATAGCCTATTAGCTAGAAAGGTAAGTCCAAACACATTTTCGCTAAGAGCAGCTGTTTAGCTGGTTAAACAAAGGTCAGCCATGTGTTGGCAAAAATGTATGTCTAAGTCAAGAAAGCTTACCAGCAGCCAGCAGCACTTGCCTCACTGGTAGCTTATTCGCGGGTGCTTTTTCAAAGCATATGTCAGATATTCCAGTGAGCGTAATTGGCTCCAATGAGTGTAATTTGGTAAATATTAGGAGTTGAAAAATTAATTTTACATAATTAGAAATAAGATATTCTCCGCTTTTCTACTGTAGGTATGCAATTCAAAATGTGTTTATTCTGTTGTTGCTAGCAATATTCATAAAAACTTTGGAATTTTTGTTAAATATATTTTTGCGTTACCCTGCAATACATGGGGCCGTGGACCCCCGGATGAATACCCCTGGCCTACAGGAAAGTGTGTACTAGGCTTCTGTAAAGACAATCTGCCTGAGTCGTCGTGAACACCACCTGACACTAACACACAACAGCCTATACAGGAATGTGTAAGCCTATGCAAAGTCAATCTGCTGATGATGTGCACAACTAAACTCAGCAAAAAAAGAAACGTCCCCTTTTCAGGACCCTGTCTTTCAAAAGATCATTTGTAAAAATCTAAATAACTTCACAGATCTTCATTGTAAAGGGCTTCCATGCTTGTTCAATGAACTATAAACAATTAATGAACATGCACCTGTGGAACGGTCATTAAGACACTAACAGCTTACAGACGGTATGCAATTAAGGTCACAGTTATGAAACGTAGGACACTAAAGAGGCCTTTCTACTGACTCTGAAAAACACCAAAAGAAAGATGCCCAGGGTCCCTGCTCATCTGCGTGAACGTGCCTTAGGCATGCTACAAGGAGGCATGAGGACTGCAGATGTGGCCAGGGCAATAAATTGCAATGTCCGTACTGTGAGACGCCTAAGACAGCGCTACAGGGAGACTGGACGGACAGCTGATCGTCCTCTCAGTGGCAGACCATGTGTAACAACACCTGCACAGGATCGGTACATCCAAACATCACACCTGCGGGACAGGTACAGGATGGCAACAACAACTGCCAGAGTTACACCAGGAACGCGCAATCCCTCCATCAGTGCTCAGACTGTCCGCAATAGGCTGAGAGAGGCTGGACTGAGGGCTTGTAGGCCTGTTGTAAGGCAGGTCCTCACCAGACATCACCAGCAACGTTGTCGATGGGCACAAACCCACCGTCGCTGGACCAGACAGGACTGGCAAAAAGTGCTCTTCACTGACGAGTCGCGGTTTTGTCTCACCAGGGGTGATGGTCGGATTCGCGTTTATCGTCGAAGGAATGAGCGTTACGCCGAGGCTTGTACTCTGGAGCGGGATCGATTTGGAGGTGGAGGGTCCGTCATGGTCTAGGGCGGTGTGTCACAGCATCATCGGAATGAGTTTGTTGTCATTGCAGGCAATTTCAACGCTGTGCGTTACAGGGAAGACATCCTCCTCCCTCATGTGGTACCCTTCCTGCAGGCTCATCCTGACATGATCCTCCAGCATGACAATGCCACCAGCCATACTGCTCGTTCTGTGCGTGATTTCCTGCAAGACAGGAATGTCAGTGTTCTGCCATGGCCAGTGCAGAGCCAAGATCTCAATCCCATTGAGCACGTCTGGGAACTGTTGGATTGGAGGGTGAGGGCTAGGGCCATTCCCCCCAGAAATGTCTGGGAACTTGCAGGTGCCTTGGTGGAAGAGTGGGGTAACATCTCACAGCAAGAACTTGCAAATCTGGTGCAGTCCATGAGGAGGAGATGCACTGCAGTACTAAATGCAGCTGGTGGCCACACCAGATACTGACTGTTACTTTTGATTTTGACCCCCCCCTTTGTTCAGGGACACATTATTCAATTTCTGTTAGTCACATGTCTGTGGAACTTGTTCAGTTTATGTCTCAGGGCTAATTGGATTTCTAAAGAGCAGACCCATCGGCCCCCCACACACTACACTGAGGTAGAGGGGGTAGAGAAAGAGAGAGACAAAGGGTGAGACAGGCAGAAGAGAGAGGGGGGAGTGAGAGAGAGACACAGGGGGAAGGAGATAGATGGGGGGAGAGAGAAGTGGTGTGAGAGAGAGAGCGCTAGACAGATGGGGACGGGTGCTACCGTGGGTAAATGTAAAGTAATCCTCAGGGCAGGGTGTGGATGGCTGAGCGGTTATACTCGGTTCTGCTCCCTCTCTGTCACATGGGAGAGGCAGGCAGCAGGCAGTGATACAGGTGATTTAGTGAGGAGTGATTTAGCAGGGTGCAAGGTGGCTTACACAGCCTGCTGGCCTTAGCAACAGACTAGACATCCATATGGACCTAGTATCTGTTCAGCTGGAGCACTGAATAATGTCCAAACAGTAAAAAAAAAAAAAAAAAACATTAAGTGTTTAAATCATTTTCAGTGTAAACTTAAATGATATAAAGTATGTAGAAAAGATAATGGACCTATATATTTTTAAATAAGATCATCTTTCCAGAACTAACAACTAAAATTCCATAAATGATGCATTCAGGAGTATTTTTGTCATGGCATGGGGCCCCCATTGATTTTGTTATAATGTTTGAGTCACTCAGATAGCGTAAGTCATGGCAAAATGTGTAGAATTGAAGGAAATTTGCTTTAAA